GTCAATATTTGTACCTCCACAAATGTAAATCTTACTGGCTAATTAGTATTTCATAGTGAGAATGGATCTCCTATATTTGGACTGGACTTTTCAGTTGTATCCATTTTTTCTGAGTATTACTTTTTTTTTTTTTTTTTTAATAGACAGGGTCTCACTCTGTTGCCCAGGCTGGAGTACAGTGGCACAACTGAACTGCAGCCTGAACTCCTGTGCTCACGCAATCCTCCTGGCTCAGCCTCCCCAGTAACTGGGACTACTACCACAGTTGGCAATTTTCCCATTTTTGTAGAGATGTACATTTCCCAGGCTGGTCTTGAACTCTTGGTCTCAAGTGACCCTCCTGCCTCAGCCTTCCAAAGTGCTCAGAATACAGCTGTGAGCACCACGCCTGACCTGAGTATTTTTTTAAAATACTAAATATTTTAAGAAGTGCCTCAGACTTTATTAAAACTTTAATGGAGGCATAAAAAATGGAAAGAACTTACAAAGTCAAAACCCTTGAAGAATTTAAGCCACATTCCTTTAGGAGAAAAGGAAAGACAGAGAGTGAATCTTAAGTTGTTGGAGTGTTTTGTTGCAAAAAAAAAGTATTTAAATGCTCTGATGTAAAAGCATACAATTAGTGGGCCAGGTTCTAGAGTTCAGAACTTGAAGGCATTTGTTTCTGAATTACTTTGAAACTGAGGTGATAGCCATCTTAGCCTCAGGCAGATTTTTTTTTTCAGCTGATCCTTTCAATCTTCCTTTTCAAATTCTGCAGAGTGGTATACTTTGATTCATTTTCTGAAAAGACTTTAGGCACTTAGAAAATCAAAAGGACAATAAGACTAATTTACATTGTACATTCAATAACTGTACCTTTAGCCTTTGGTTTTGGTCAAGTTAAATTGTGTTCTTGTGTGTGCAAAATAGTGAAATATTAGAAATATAAATTTTATATTTGTTCACAGTTTTGTTTCATTACCTGAATTGGTGAACAAAATATTTGGAAATTTAATGGCATATTTAATGACATTCCCTTATTTAGAAGGTAAGTGTGTATTTTTCAACATCTTTAATTTTACAAATATTTTAACAAATAAACATAAAATCAAATTATTACTTGCCTCCTTCATTTTTCCTTTTTTTACATAGATAAACACATTATTTTGGCCCCCATGCACATTCTGTTTTATTAAGTTTTTAATGTAAACATAATTATTACTAAACTCCAAATTCACAGTGGTTACCAGTGAGTAGGGAGGAGTACGTTCTTTAGAACCAAAAAATTAAAATTTTCATCGGTGAGACAAATTATAAAGCAAACATAAAAGTTTATAAGAAAAATGTATGAGATTAACGTAATGAGAAAGTGTAGTTCCCAACCAAGCCTCTTAGTAACTTGATTGAAATTAATTACATATCCAAACAAAGAATGTGAGTTTGGGGGTGGGGTCTAATGGAAATTTAGAAAGGGAGTGTTCTCAAAACAAACTCTGAACTTTCCTTCCACTAGTATTTGTTGAACCATACTGTATGGAGAGAGAAAAATCAAGACTAAACAATTTGCCCAGCTGGTGAAGAGCAGATCTAAGATTCAAATCTACTACACCATGCTGCTTCACTGAAAATGTTGCCTAGCTCCAATCAATTCATTCACTTAGCAAATATTAGATATCTCTTGTGCTCAAGGCATTTTTGCCAAGGGGCAGTGTGGGATACATGATAAATCAGAGATTTGTGGAGTTAAAGAAAGAGATGTACTTTGGCATCATACTGACTGGTCTGAATTCCAGCCTGTTGGATAAATTACTTTTTTTTTTTTTTTTAAGAAAACCACTCAGACTGCATCGTCTCCCTCTTACTCCCCCCAAACGGGAGAGAAGAACGATCATCAATGGAGATAAATTACTTTTTAAACTGCAGTTTTTAAGTTAGTAAAACGAAGGGGTTGTTTGGAAAAAAAAAAGAAAAGGAAAAAGGAAATGCATTTCTTAGTGACTAGCAGACAGGAGGTGCTCAATAAATTTAGTTTTCCTCTCCCCAACTCCATTTTGAGGCTAGAAGGTAAATAATCAGAGAAGTCATCATAGAAAAGGAGAAGCTGCAATTGATTTGCGTCATGAGGTGGGTGTTCACTGTATTTGGACTGGTTGAGAAGTGGGAGACAGCGTATGTAGTGAAGTACGGGGACTTCACTAGATCCTGTCCATTATGGTTTACAGGGAGGGAGAAAAGTAAGAGCTGTGAACGTCAAGTTGCCTGCTGTCATAGTCCATTTGGGTCGCTCTGACAAAGTGCTACAGGCCAGGTACCTTATAAACAACAGAAATTTATTTCTTATAGATCCAGAGGTTGTGAAGTCACACAGTAGACAGGGAGCGGGATCTCTTCGGGCTTGCTTTCTTTTTTTAAAAAAATTATTTATTTTTAACTGAAAAAAAAATAACAGTATATACTTATGAAGTACAATGTGATGTTTTCATATATATCATGGATGTTTTGGATGATTAAATCAAGCTAATTAACATATTTATCACTTCACATTGTTATTTTTGGTGGTGAGTGGGGTTTCCTTTATAAGAGCTAATCACATCCATGAGGGTACCGCCTTTATGATCTAATCAAACCCAAAGGCCCCCACCTCCTAATATTATCAACTTGGGGGTGAAGATTTCAACATATAAACTTTGAGGGTACACAAACATTCAGACCATTACACCTGCCTACTGGTAAAATCTCCTTCGGTATACTGTTGGCTCCTACAAAAATATACAATATTGTGACATTAACCTGAAATCAAGGCGTCTTTTCGGACTAACTCACCAACCAGCAAGCTTTTCCATGTTGGACTGTGTTATTGATTCATTCAACACGTTTCATTTATTCAAAGAATACCCAGGATCACACCTAAGATCTTAGTGCTAGAATTGGAGGATGTCGGTATGTTATCAAAAGGCACTGCCATAGTTTGGAAGAAGATAGACATGCAAACAATTTTAGTAAGTTTAGAAGAGATAGAGACATCTACAGCAGCACTGACGAAGAAACAATTTTCCATTTAGGATTTTAGGTAGTTCAACTCTAAAATATGAAAATAGGCATATTTGACAGACTACAAAATATATACCATTCTGATCGTCACAATGTCTATTGCAATCAATGGTAATTTTAGCGACACTTAAGATTGAAGCCCACAGAAAAACAGTTAAAAAGCATGATTGAATTATTACTGAGTGACCCTTCCCCAAAATCAGTCCCCCACATTCTTCCTTAAAAAATAGAAGCCTGGGCCAGGCATGGCGGCTAACGCCTGTAATCCTAGCACTCTGGGAGGCTGAGGCAGGAGGATCGTTTGAGCTCAGGAGTTCAAGACCAGCCTGAGCAAGAGTGAAACCCGGTCTCTACGAAAAATAGAAAGAAATTAGCTGGATAATTAAAAACATATAGAAAAATTTAGCCGGGCATGGTGGCGCATGCCTGTAGTCCCTGCTACTCGGGAGGCTAAGGCAGAAGGAGTGCTTGAGCCCAGGAGTTTGAGGTTGCTGTGAGCCAGGCTGACACCACAGCACGCTAGCCTAGGCAACACAGCAAGACTCTGTTTAAAAAAAAAATAGAAGCCTGGACTGGGCGCAGTGGTTCCCGCCTGTAATCCAAGTACTATGGGAGGTTGAGACTGGAGGATGGCTTGAGGTCGGGTGTTTGAGACCAGCATGAGCAAGAGTGAGACCCCACCTCTACTAAAAATAGAAAAAAATTCGCGGACGTGGAGGGGCGTGCCTGTAGTACCAGCAGTAGTAGTCCCAGCTACTCGGGAGGCTGAGGCAGGAGGACGCTTGAGCCCAGGAGTTGGAGGTGGCGGTGAGCTACGATGACGCCACTGCACTCTACCTGGGGCAACAGAGTGGGACTCAAAGAATAAAAGAAGGCCAGGCGCGGTGGCTCATGCCTGTAATCCTAGCACTCTGGGAGGCCGAGGCACGAGGATTATTTGAGCACAGGAGTTCCGTCTATACTAAAAATAGAAAGAAATTAATAGGACAACTAAAAATACATAGAAAAAGTTAGCCAGGCATGGTGGCACATGCCTGTAGTCCCAGCTACTTCGGAGGCTGAGGCAGGAGGATCGCTTGAGCCCAGGAGTGTGAGGTTGCTGTGAGCTAGGCTGACGCCAGGGCACTCACTCTAGCCAAGGCAACAGAGTGAGACTGTCTTAAAAAAAAAAAAAAAAAAAAAAAGAAGCCTAGAGACAGTCTAGTCCCAGCTTTTCGAAGAACACACAACTGGGGGATACCAACGACACGAACACGGATGCTGCAGTTCTCCAAGGGCAGTTTAATCCCCTTCCCCGCGTGATAGGGTTTTGCGATCCACTTCTCCTTCCTCCCCATTCTGGGGAATATTTTAATGCCCTCTGGCGCCATCCCTAGTGACGTCACGGGTACAGTTCCGCTCCGTGGCCAATCAGGAGGCCGGATTCCGGGGAAGCCCGGGGCGGTGGCGACGGCCTGTGCGCGTGCGCGAGGTCTCCGCGTGGCTATATAAACATGGCTGGCGTGGCCGCGCGGCTGGGCCGTGCAGAGCACACGTAGGGGTCTTTGGGCGCCCTAGGTTTGTAGTTTTGAAATTTCTGGCGGGGGAGGCGCTGCGTAGAGTTAGGATCCGAGGTGGGGAGCGACGCCTTTTCGGGAGCCTAACGGCCAGACTCCACCGCAGCGGGACCCGAGGCAGATGCGCTGGGCTGCGCTGGCGCACGTGTGAGCGCCCCTGAGGAAGCCGCTGGGCGCGTGTTGCTGCCGGCTGCAGCCCCGGCTCGCGCGGACGGGAGGAAGGTCCGGGACGTGCGGGTCCTGCTGTCTTGCCGGCGCCCTTCACTGACTTCCCTGCCGCGGTCCCTGCGCCTTTCCCCAGCGATGCTGTGGAGCCCGAACTGCACTGGAGTCGGCTGCCGCTTGCCAAGCCTCTCCTCACCTCTGCTCCCGGAACGGCAGCGCCGCAGCTGCCGCTGATCCCCTGGGGGGATGCCCGCCGGCCTCACCGAACCGGCCGGCACCGCTCCCCGCGCTGGCGTGAGCGCCTCTGGGACCGTGACCATGGCCCCCGCCAGGGCTCTGCCGGTGCGGGTGGAGAGCGCGCCGGTGGCCCTGGGCGCCGTGACTAAGGCTCCTGTCAGCGTCTGCGTGGAGTCCACGGCTTCCCAGCCCCTGCGGTCCCCCGTGGGGACCCTGGTGACCAAAGTGGCTCCTGTCAGTGCTCCTCCTAAACTCAGCAGCGGCCCCAGGCTGCCTGCTCCTCAGATAGTCACCGTGAAAACCCCCAAAGCCACAACAATCCATTTACCTGCTAATTTGCAGCTTCCTCCAGGTATGTTGATCACACTTCCAGCCTTATCTGTCGGTCCGGCCGGTGGTGACGGGAAACGTCGCAGCCCCGGATTGCGCCTTGTTGCTGGTAGCTCTAAAAAACTCTGAGCCAAGAGAACCTTTCATAATCTTGATTTTGCATTAAGCTTTCAGGAAGCAGCCTGTTGTGCAGTGATTTGGCCTTACAATTTTTGTGTCATTACTACATAGTTTTTCATTTCGTATTTAAGGAAAGCATCTTTTCACTTAAGCGATACATTAAAAGCTGGAACAGCATATTCGGGAGGGCCTTTGAGGCACTGGCTCCTACGTGGGGGAGGTAGGGTATAGCTGAAGTCTATTTTCTTGTGGAGAATGTACCAGTTTATACAGTGTTATTTCCACACACTTAGATTATGATGGTTAAAAAAGGTGTGTTTTAAAAGTTCTTGTGTGTTAAAACTCAGAGATTTTGAAATTTAAGCAAGCCAAAATAAGTCTACTGCTTTCTAGTACCAGAAACGAATAAATGCTGCTTCCTGCGCAATATGAGATATGTAATGATTGAAACTTTCAATTAGAAGAATCCCTTTCACTGGGAACAACTGCTAGAGTTGACGGATCAGAGCCATGCAGTTGTTACATTTGCAATTGAATCTATGTGTGAATGCTACTGTTAATGAGTCTTCAATTACTTACTATCTATTCTAGGGCTTACTCTGTTGGACTGTTTTTCATGATTTACGTAAAGGTTTTGCTTTGTAATAATTCACATATTGTAAATATGCTGGATAATTTCTGAGTGTTCTATCTTCTTAAGTGAAAGTCTCTTGGAATCTGTCTTCTATTATTATAATTTTGCTTAGCAGTAATTGGACTTCTGACCTGCAAACCTGGTAAAGAGGTAGAAGCATTGATTCAAAAGACACTGTATTTGGTCATGAACATTGTGGACAGTTCTAAGTTGTCGTTCTGCATATATTCTTATAAAGTAGTTATAAATGTGTTTGAATGAAATTACCCCCTACTGTCTAGCCACTGAAGTTTGTTTAGAAACAAAGTACTAAGATAGAAGTGACAAGAGTGAAAACTTGCTGTTAAGTGGGAATGAATCGCTTACTGAGTGAGGACTTCCTGTGTTACGCACTTTTTATATATTTTATTCATTGGTCATAATAGGCAGGTAGCAAATTAGGAAAGAGGTCTCCAAGGGTAAGTAATTTGCCCAGTACCAGGCAACCCATAGGTGTCAGAGGGGTTTAAATTCAGGTCTGTTTTAACTCTTTGCACAGCACTGTGCTTACCACTTTTTGTGTGTGTACAAAATGCCCCTTTGAATATCAGTGCTAAAAGATTATTTAGAGAATTTTAGTGCCTAATCTTTCATTTTACACACCACGAAACAAAAACTGAAATTAGCAAGAGTTAAATAGTAGCAAACTAGAACCACAACCTAAATTAGTTTGTAGCACTGTACTAAAACATGTTATGTTGTTAACCACAGAGAGAAGATAATTTGTTTTTAGGAATTGTTAGTTACAGAGGAGGTGGGAAGGTGCTGTAAAGAGGCTGCTTTGGGGAATTTCTGCTGATGTATGGCGGAAGAGCATACTAACACATTTGTGCCCTTGTTGGTGCAGAATAAGAGAACCAGTAATTAAAGAATGAAATGGAAATACTGATTAAAATAACTTTTTAAAAAAGGTTATGAATCTTATACTATTTCTTTTGTGTACTTTGGATTAGCAGTTGATTACTCAAGAGTCCTTACATTACATATGTTCTTCATTTTCCAAGGTAATGGATACTTTTAAATATTTGATTTCTCTTTAGTTTCCTCTATGAACAGAACTGTTTTTTTAAAAAAATAATACATATGCATCACAAGTTTTTCTAGGGAGCAGGGGCTTGAAATAAAAAGTGTGTGGAGGGGGCACTGTGAGGAAATGAAGGGATTTTGGTAGTTTAGTCAATCTTTTTTGTAAACATGTGGGATTTTTAGACCAAACTGTGTTCCTTTCTATTTTTGGTATTCTTCATCTCTTCTACCACTCATTTGAGAATGAAGAGCAAGGACTTTTGTGTCATAAATTGTGATAAATTCTGCATGATAGTCATACTGTACAAAAGTGTGTGAAAGTTACTTATGAAGCAGTTGAGGTCGTTTTTCATCGACCTGTCTTCATTCTGACACAGGCCATAGATTTGCAGCTTCTTTCTCAAACTCCTGAACCACTCCCTGGATAAGTTCTTTGTTTCCACTCAGCTTTATCAAAGGGTTACAGTGTATGTGATCATCAGCTCCACAGTTGTCACAGTGCTGCTGAACTTCCTGAAATGAGAGGCTATTCTCTTCATTGCTCACCATACATCATCTGTTGTTTAGATTCCAAAGGCTGTGGGGTCAGCAATGGAGTGGCCGTGGCATTATTCTATTGACAGTCATCCCTCCGGAGAAAGTGCTGGTGGTCCTTTCCTGCTGCCCTTCCTCAAGGCTAGGTTAGGTTCTCCTAGTATGTGTTCCCACTTGCATCCTGTACTCTCCCCCATAGTACTCTCACATTTTAACATTGTTGTTTTTCTTTTTGATTATCAGTTCCGCAAAGGCAGGGATACTATGTCAGTAACTTTATTATTCCTAGGGCCTAGTAAATTGTTTGGCACAGAGAAGGCCCTTAAGTGTTTGAATGCAGGCAAATGTGTGGAGAGTAGGGGCAATAGGACTGCAGCTCCTAAGGCATTCTGAGGGCCATCACCCATATCGGTGTGTTGAGTTTTGATTTCTTTACTTATTCTGCTTATAAAAGCAGTAAAAATTTCATGTAAAAAAATTACTAAAATGTAATCCCCACTTCAGAGTATTAAGAATTTTGTGGTATCCTTTTCATGATAGTACCTATAAATTTTCCTCATTTTTCAGCTATATGTGGTCCATTGTATTTATGTACCATCCTTTTTTGACCACTTTCCTATTCATGGGTATTGATACTGTTTGCAGTACTTTCTACTGGTACAAATGATGCTTTATAATAAACATCTTCTGTGTAGTTTTGTAAACATGTGTTTTTATAGGATAAATTGCTGGAAGTGGAATTGTTGGCTCAAATGGTAACATTTTGATAGGTTTTGCCAAGTTATACCCCAAATATATTATTTAAATACGTGATCAACAATGTTAATACTTACTTTTAGAAAACAACTTATGGAATCTAAGAAGTCATGGTATAGACTTTAATTAATAGTAAGAGTAGATGAGCCTTATAATTGAGTTGGGGAAGTTAGGCTTTGAATATAGAGAAATGTAGGCTGGATGATAATTCTGGTATGTGGATTTGTTACTTGTTGAATAACTATGCCTAAGAGGGCTCTCGTTAGCTCAATGTCAACTAGGTATATAATATTTGGTAGCCTGGAAGCTTCAATCCAAGGCCACAGAATAAGGACTAGGTCAGGGGTGGGGAACTTGTGGCCTTCTAGGTCCTTAAGTCTAAATCCAAATTTTTGAATCCATGTGGACTTTTGACTAAATCCAAATTTTATAGAATAAATCCTTTTATTTTTAGGATTTGTTCTGTGAAAGTTTGGATTCGGTAGAGGGGCCGCACTTGGGGATCTGAGGGCCGCATTGTAGCCTTGAGGCTGCAGGTTCCCCACTAGGGCAAGTGCTATGATCGGATTTGCATTTTAGAAAGAGAATTTTGTCAGCAGTGTGGAGCCCGGATTAGAGGCAAAGAGGGAGGCAGAGAAGTGA